AACCCCTTGAAGTTCTGGCAGGCTGTTAACGAAAACACAAATGATTCCTACTGGACATAGAAAGACAGCAAGGAAAAAAAGAGAGCCTCTAGGCCAGAAATAGCTTTTCCTTGTCATAGGTAGAGACCATTGTACTCATACCTTTACACTGCCCCTCCACTGTCAAGCTTTTTCACCTCCCTCCATTAAGCCTCCAAGGACATCCTCAAAAAAGCCTGCTCAGAGGAATTTACCTGGCTTGATTATAATTCCTCTTCCCTGGTGACGAGAATCTGGGGCCTGTTGCTGTTTTTAATATGGTAGTTTTATTAGAGAAGGGCAAATTCACTGACTGCATAAAGCCATGCAAATCCCATTGAAATCGCTTCCTGTTTAGCTCCAGTGAACTCACAGAACATATTGTGATGCTGAGTTTCCTTCCCTGCTGAGTACTGCAGATTAGACAGTGGGAAGATTGTCCACTAGGAAAAACTCCTATCTGACACTGAAATCCAGAGATACATATTATCTGGGATCTGCCCCAAAAACCATAGAACAAAGAGCTCCAGCACAATCTGCACTGAAAAATACAACAGGTATCCTCCCTGCTCACCAAAGGTAGGGTTTGATAATGACTTTGCAGTAGCTATACAATCCTTTATATAACATCAAAGCACCTTTCACAATAGATGCTTTGCTTTGGCTACTGCAATCTTAACTGTAGTGCCCAGTTCCTATTTGTTTATATTCAGTGATCTAGCCATTAAGAATATCTCATACTACTTGACCAAATCTCATCCCCCTGACCAGACAGTAAGGACACGATTAAATGTCTTCCTCCAGGCTGGAGAAGCATTCAATTATTTTTTGCTACTGAAATTGATATGACTTCATTATTTCATGAATTATTATTATTCTTCCAGCTAACAGACAGCTGAGACTGTGAATCCCGGCAAGGGGCTCCAGTTTCCCTGCTATCATGCACAGCTTTCAAGGTCTTCAGGACTAATAGAGCAGTTTTTTCCAGCCTCATCTCTTCACACAGTCTTCAATTTCCTATGCATCATTCTTCCCTCCTTATTTTAACCCTCTCTTCCTAAGCCCTGCTCACATCACTGAGCTTCACCTTTGCACTTCTCATACCTGCTGGGTAACATACATCCCTTCCTACCAAATTCTCCCCAGTGCAGAGAAATGAGATGTACTGAGCAGCAGAAAATGGTTCCTGGTTCATTCAATGCGGCCAGTGGACTTTCTGATGCAGTTGATGCCACTGCTCTTCCTGTCTCCCCTTAACAAAGAGAACACCACCGAGTGTGACCTACAAACTGTTGCCTACTGGGTGTGTTGCTGTCTGTGGGACTGCAAAGACCAGCAGCTGCTGGTCTCAGCAGGCCAGTAGTCAGCCTGTGGTAGCAATACACAGAGCAAAGGGTTATGGCATAAAGATCCAGCTTACTCCTTCCCCTGGCATATTCCCACCTGGGAATGTATTACTATACTACCGTTCCTCCTATTGTATCTCACAACACGTTCTCACTTCCTATAAAGGAAATGGCTGCAAACTTTCCAGGCTGCTTATTCCATAGTTGATAAAATTAGTGCTGCAGATCCTGGACATTTTCTGTTTCTCATTCTCAAAGAAAAAATTTGTCCTGCAAATTTGCAGGAAGCAGCTAATCAAAATTCATCGGCATTTAGAAGATAATTGAGTCATCTATTCAGTAAATAAAGGTAAGCAAAAAAAAGTCTTCAACAGCTGTAATTTTTTCATCATATCAAAACCAACAGTGTTTCACAAGTTATTGTTCCATAAGAGATACCAGGAATTTATTTGAATACATTAGGTGAGATAGATTGTAGTAGAATACGAAATGCTTCTGCTATCTGCTCTCATAAAGACATCAGAAAGTAAACAACAGCATTGATTTTTCCATGTTTTGTGCAATTATGTCTTACTGTGCAATTTAACAGTTCTCACTGTAAATATTCATTTTCTTTTTACAGCACAGGGAAAGTCTCTCAGATAGTCAGTGCCACACTACCAGAGCCTGTAAAGCTCTCTAGAGGATCCCACCGAAGCAAACAGCGGTAGACCTTTCTTTCCTCAAAACATCTCCATGCCTAGCAAACAGAAATGAAGGTTCTCAGAAAAAAGGACACTCAAGAAAAAAAAAAAAAAAAAAAAAAAAAGAAATGAACCACTGCAATCAGAAGAACTCAGACTGCCTTTGGGTGAAATTGCTTTGTCAGAATTTGGAAAAAAAAAAAAAAAAAAAAAAAAGAAAAAAAATGGGCTGTAATCTGTAGTTTGGTCTTCTATGCCATAATGATGTTCCAGAAATACAGAACTGATCAGTAAGCAACTAAAAGATTTACAGCTCTACAGTCTTAGCTCTATATTATTTCTTTGACAATTTTCTTTTCTTTTGTTCTGTAATGGGAATTTATTGCTTATGAAGTTGAAGACCTTGTTCTGAGTAGCAAATATCAATAACGGGGCTGCTAAAATGGCAAGTCACCCTCACAGCTCTCTGGTGTCTTTCAGACTTGCAAGACACATTAGTGTCTCCCTAATTCTATAAGGGAACCTCAAAGTCAGTGTGAGCATCCACCACTTGTTACGCTTCATTACTAGTACCACCAGCTCCAAGCAACAGCAATCACCACATTCCATCCCTGCATCCTGCGGATTGAAAAGCAGAATAAAAGATGACAAGCTCAACACCTATGGACCCCGAAGTTTTCCAGAGTCAGTGCACCAATATTGAGATTTGAACTGGCAGCATGAAAAATAGAAGCAGTCTCCTGACAGCCCTGAGCTGAAGTGTTGGGCAGAGACAGCTGCAGGCAGAATACTTTCTGCCGCAACTTTAAGGAGCATAGATTACAAAAGTACAGCTTTCTAACCTTGGATTAAGCAGAGGAGTACAATTACCAATCCCCTTCTCCAGTCTCTTGCTTGAGAATTTAGAAGCAACCAAGATTTTTTAATGCAAGTAAACATCTTCCTAAAGGATTGTCACAGCATAGGCTCCCATCTAAACTAACAATCTGCTGCAAAAATCCCTTCTCAGAAAAGCCCAGCCTGCCCCATTTCAACTGGTGAGCAGAGCTGTGTCAATGGATTTACAATGTGACGTCAGCCCCAAGGCTCAAGTGGCAGCTTTTGTGTTTTCATGCATTGTTTAATAAGCTGCTCACTTCCCTTCTCTAACCCAAACTTTATTAAAATGGGGAAGATGCATTCAAGTGTTTTTCCAGAGAAGACAGGCTATTTAGACTTGATACTGAAAAGTTATTCCCCACAGATAAAGAAATGAAGAATTGCAAAGTGCTTAGAGAGACATATTTAATACCTTAAACTCTTACATTGAGTTAACAACTAGTACGGTCTTGACTTCAAGGAAATAAATTGATTCTCAGGTTCCCTTATTTCTATAATCTCTCAACAGAAACTTGGTTGCAGGTTTTTTCTGTCAATAGAGGGAGGATTGTTTGATTCATTTGCTTATTTTAATTAGATAGTGCAATGACTACAAGATACCAAAGAAAAATGTTTGTCTTCATGAGAGCAGATAGGCACACACTGCACCACAAGAAGAAAGCAAAAGGCTGCAAGGAGGTTGTTCCTCCCATAAGGCGAGCAGTTACGATGCCTGAGAAAGAAAGTTGGTAGAGCAACAGGCAGCCCTGGTGACACAGGTAATTGGGAGAGGGAGAGGCCTGGGCTGAGTATGACATGAGCCAGGAATTGGGAAATAAGATTCTCCATTCCTCCTGTAAATCCTTTCATTTCTTGCCATTTCTTGAATGACTCTGGGTGTGGAGGACCACAGGAAGACCCAAGCCTTGCAGAGATGCATCTGTTGCAGGCAACCTCAGTGGGCACTCCCTCTACCTGTCTTCCTTACAAACAGCCTAGCACCATCTGTACAAACAACACCTACCCTGCTGTTGAGTCAGCTGCTTGAAAACAAGACTGGGAGGTCAGTGCAGCTTCTCTGCTCCTAGCACAGCACAGGCAATGTGTGATTGTGCCCCTTACCACCTATGGACACTCAGCCCCAGCAGATCTAGCTACACACTTAGCTGCCATATGCAGAGGGGGCAATCTTTTAGAGCACACTGTCACAGCCTCCAAGCACGTGCATATGAGCTGATGCTTCTCAAGCCTAATGTCCTCCTTGCCAGGACTACCCACGAGGAGCTGAGCTCTTGTATGAGCTTCCAAGAGTTTAAAATAAGAGAACAATTCTTCCATGGAGAGGGTAGAATACAGTGAGAGCAGGTGGCACATCATTTTTTTCTTGCCTTGCCCAGGTGTCTGGCCAGGGGGTCTTGCCCAGGTTCCTGGCCAGTATCTTGTACTTAACATTCAACAGGATCTCAAATTCTGGACTATCAGAGCTCCTCTTTTAGTATGATTAGCAAATGAGAGGTCACTATCTATGAGAGGTCTCTTATATGAACATCCCCAACCATGCATGTATGCTTACTTATGCAACAGTGACAAGGTGGAGGAGTCAAACCCCCAGAATACCTAACACCTAGAAAACAAGATCTTTGAAAGCAGAGTTAACTGAGAAGAGAATGGATTGGGGATTGTCTTACAAGTTTCCTGCCAAGAGAAAGTAAGACTTTTCTACAGGTTCCTGGAAGCCTTTTCAACTCAGGTTAGACACTGAGAGAAAAATCTCTTATTGACAGGAGCTCAGAATGTTATTGAGGGAGAAGGTGAAATCTCTAACACTGAAAGACAGATTAGAGTGGTATCTGTCATGAATAGGTCACAGAAACTATCTGGCCATAAGCCAGTGAGATATGCTGAACTGCTTCTTTGGGTCCTTGTTAGTCCTGTTTTCCTGTAATTTTCTCAGAGAGTGAAATTGCTTAGCTATGCTTGGAACAGGAAGAAGGTTTCAGAGAGCCTTTTGTTTTGCATCACGTTTCATCCTGCTTTGGCCCATCTATGGTTCAGGAGCATCTAAGAAAACCAAGCAAAACATGATACTAGAGTACTTTTATTAAAGATAAGGATATATCTGAAATAAATTGTACAGTGTGGAGGCAGAAATCTGTTACCTTTCCCTATTTGGATCTGGGGAAATACTTTGACATCTTCTGATTGTAATACATCTAAACTTCCTGTTACAGCAATTAAAAAAAAAAGTCACTCTTACAGAAAAGCCTGGCAGAATATACAGGACATAGGACACTTAGTCCAACTTATTCTTTTTACCTTGCTCAGTTTGAGAGAACATTCAGATCTAAACAGAATATATCAATGACAACACTGGCAATAACTTTAGAGTTACACTTACCCAAAGATATTAATCTAGAATTACATGGAGAGCTCGTAAATAAAAAATAACAATAGGCTTCAAACTCAGCATAGAGATTTCATACTGGGAGTGAAAACTTAAGCAAGTAGACATAAGTTGAAGTCAACAAGGTCTTAAATCAACTGAATAATCATGACTTTTGAAATCAGAAGGGTGCCTATGAGCTCTCATCTGGACTACTGTGTATACATTCCAAAGAATTCCAATGAAGCTTTTAGCATCCAGCTAGTAAGCTCTATTGAAACTCAGGCAGAGGTTTTAAGACAACATTCAGAAAAGATTTCAAGTTTGGGAAATCCTACCACAAGCCCAAGGAATTTGTTATAATGATTAATCACCTTCCATTGTTTTAAAATAGTAATCTGAAATTTATTTCTACACTAAATTTGTGTCAAATTTACTCCCAGCTGCTAAGTCTCTTCATGCCTTTTCTGCTAGACTTGTATTATCCTAAGTCAGTTGTGGTTAGGAAAACACTCAACAGCCTAATGGGGCTATACTATAAAGAAAAAAAAGTAATATTACAGAGGAAAGTTACACATCTTATCCAACCCACTTGTGGCTGCAAGTCACCCCTGGAGACTTGACCTACTGGGTGAAATATCATGTATGTCTCAAGGCGAGGTGCCCCAGAATGACTTAGGAGTAGTAATTGTTTATGTATGCTGCATGTGGCAAGATGCAAACGGGCTGCTAATGCTCTAGACTTGCACTGGTCTGGACTAGAGCTCCTCATGTCCAAGAGAGGCTTTTCTGGGAAACACCACAATGGTATTTCACAGCTTAAAAAAAAAAACAAAAAAAAACCTATTTCCCAGTGATTCCTTCCCTGACTGCAGACTAACCACTATTCTCCACAGTCTTATTACTGGTTTGGTCTGACAGGGTGCTGGTTATATTCAGCTCTGCATGGCAGCAAGCTGTGGAAGACAGTTGGGGTCAAAGTTTCAGGGAACTCCTCAGAAGGAGGACCTGCAGAAATGCCCAAGACAACATGGGTACATCCCAAGGTACAAGAGTTGGTAAATAATCTGATTGCTCAGAACTTGGTTAACCTCTCTGTTCAATGTTTTGGCTCAAAATAAGATATTGCTCTGGGAAGACTACCTAAGCACTGTCTACTCACTACCATTACTCAGAAGGGAAAGACAACCTGAATTGGCTTGCATTTTTACATTAGATCTCATGTATGCTATAGCCCTTCACTAGGGCTGTAAGAAAGGCAGAGATGCATCCATCTTTGTGCCACAGATCACAAGAGTTTGAAGGTCGTTGCTGAGTTTGAGCAGAGCAGAAGAGAAAAATACCTGCCCAGCAGCAGTATCATTATTACCAAATGTAATCTGGAATGATGCTGTCATCTCTTAAAACTTGCTTGATAAAACTTGTAGATGAAAAAGAAATAACAATTGGGTGCAGAACAGAGCAATTGTAGGGCAGCTATGATCAACACATTAAGAGTACACCTGCCAGGAGCTAGTGCAACAGTAAAAATTAAATAAAAGCAAATCCATATATTACTGAGCTCAGGAAGGGCAGGTGATAAGCTTCAGCCCTGCAGCTGTCCTTATTTAGGACACCGCAGTACAGTTTTCAGTTGCATGATCCTTTCCTTTTAGAAATGCTGCACTGCTTCTACAGCACTGCAGATGCCCACTCATGCCCGTGACCAGAGGTATCTGTTCTGATCACACAGCTGCCTGAAGGAACTTCCCCACAGGGAACTGTCCATCCATCCACCCACCAATCAAGTCCAAAAGAGACTCAGCTGATTCACTGAGGATTGTTTCTTTCACTCTGAGGAAAGAAAGTAAGTAGGAATTAAGTAAGAGGGTTAAGAGAGAAGAACTGGAAATCTGGTATTGGCAAATCAGTATTTAGGGAGAACTGTACAAACAACTAAGGAAATTATGCTAGTATTTTCATTAATAAAGACAAGTGCTGGGAAGGGGATGAAGTTTTCTTTTAGCTCACATGGAAAATTCATCTTCTCCAGATGTCCCAGGGGATAGGAGACTAGCAGAATAGATCTGTACTGATCAAAAAATTTGGCATCAATCTGAGCATGCAGCTTTGGACTGTGCCAATCCCTGCCAATGACGCTTGAGTCAGAACACATTTAGCCTGAACTATGCCTCCCAAAGAATAGCTCTGTGAAAAGGCTACGAACAATCATACTTCAATTGTAAATGGAACAAATTTCATCTGACATCATGAAGAACAAACTGGGGGCTTGTGCCTGCCTGCATCCCCTTCTTGTCATTTTAACAGAGTTGTTTTTAAGAGCATAAACACCCACTCAAAATTAGTACAAATGTTTCCTTCATCAGCTCGCTCTGACATTAATGGGTAAACCATATTTCTGTGGTGCACATCCAGCATTCTCACTGCACGGCTCTCCTGTCACTAACAGCAACCGATGCATTCAAATGAACAATTGGCCATAAATAAAGATGACAAGAGCAAATTACAAAAGTGGGAGTTGTGGCCTGGGGAATATTCACAAGCCAAAGAAGCATTACAGTCCTTTGCCCTTTAGATCACTAGTATCCACTAACACCCAGTTTGTCAAACCAGGATGACTCCTCCTTGTCCTTGGGCCTGGAGAACTCCTATAGAACTACAGGGCTCATAGCCAACAGAAGATCTCCCAACCCTTTATGTGGGCTAGTGTTTCTTTCCTACAAATCTACTCCCCACTCACACATTTTTCTTCACAGTTTTCTCATCTGATCTAATTTGTAAAAAATAGAAAAATAAAAACTGAACTACATGCATAAGCAGCTTCATTGTACAGCATATGCATATTTACATGGTAACGCTTTTAATTGGCAGCATCCAGCTTCACACATTAATAAAACCATGTTTCACAATATTATGCCAGCATTTTGACCTAGAGAACCTTTCATTCAGTCCTTCAGAGCTCCAGGCAAAAATTATCCATAACAGAGGTGAATTAAAAGAAAGTTTTTAGTCTCTTGTTGTTCTGAGTTCTGGGGTAAGTGTAATAGCAGAACAGATGCTTTTGAAAGCTAGAGTGGACTCAGCATCATGTGACATGATTATCCTTAGTAGAGGACCAATAGTATACTTTCTCCTTCTGGGGAGTCCTGTAATTCCTTACAGTAACTCATAAGGCTGGGAAGAATATGGACTGATTTGTTTTGCTTTCCCAGGAAAAAAACACCACAGTATTGTATAGCTTTCAGAGGCCATAGTCTGTAATCTGCTACTGACAAGAGAAAGAGAGGTGATAGGTAATATGAACAAGCTGGTAAGGTCCAGATTCACGTAGGTGTGTAAGTATATAGCTTATATTTAGATGCTCATGTTAACTAATGTTAAGTGCCTAATGTTAACCAGGGTAGTTTTAAAAAGGAACAAACTAAAATTTGATACCTAGAAGCAAAGTATTAAATCAGTGCTTGCTTGTAGAGAAAATTAAAATAAGAACTCAGAACCAGCTAAAACAGAGTTTTCAATAAGAAACTGCAGTATTAAGCATATATATACTGTTCATGGACTTCTCAATATCCCAAAGGCAATATGCTATTCAGTCCTATTTCTGAGTAGATTCCTTGACTGTTGCATTCTATTAAAACATTATCAAAGTTATTCTAACTTGCCAAATTTTGGCATGGCATTTCAAGGACATTAAGCAAGACTTTAAGACTAATGTGTCCTAGTATGTCTTTCAGCACACAAGATTTCTTAGTTACAATTATACCACATGCAAACAAATTCTCCAATAGAAGAGTTAATGTATTCAACTATAGAGGAAGGAAAAAAAGATAAACAACTAGCAAGTAGCTAATACTTCTGCATATTACTACCTACCGGGGTAAATCAGCTCCTGCTAAAGCTAGTAAGGATTTATGGTGGGTTATTTAACCACTGGAAGATGTCACTGAGATCTTGGTGGAAACTGAGAAGGGATTAACTCAAAGAGCATCCTAAGAGGTTACGTCTCATGCCTTAGAATTCTGCATAGCTTGAACAAATCTTCACTGACTCCTAGCTGGGAAAGGTTTACAAGCAAGGAATGACTTTGTTATCACACCTTGAAAGTGAACTCACCATGAAAGAAGCAGGAAGAAGGGAAGACTAATTTGCTTTTAAAAACTTCTGATTAGAACAGATATTTCCAATTATGTGTGATTGTTTTATCTGGATATTATATGCAAAGTCATTTAATCTGTCAGTCAGATCAGGTCATCTCACATCTGGAAGAACAAAAACAAATAACAATAGAAGGTGCTGTTCTCAATTACAGTCCTGTAGGCAAATAATAATTGAGTTCACTATTATTGAGGGAAAAGCCCCAGAATGATCCACAGAAATGCTGTTAGAAAAACAGGCATATGAGTTTAAGCATGGACAACAGTAAGTTATGCTTCCTGAAAGAAACACCCATGCAGAAGTGCTTCTGTCCTGTTTACCCCCCCCCTCCCCAACTTTGTTTTGACTAAAGTATAATCATCATCATTATCTCCCCAACACAGAGGACATTCAAACTGTGGAAGAATTTGTTTCCACTGAAATTTCTGGCATTTCTTTAAAAAAAATTACTGCACCTCCTTCTCTCCCTAATCCAAGCTAATGAAATTGTTTTTGGAAACCAAAATTCCATTTTCGTCTTTTTACTCTCTACACTTTTTATTCTTTTTAAGAGAAGAAACAAATGTTTCTACCAGAAATTGACTTTGGGACCATGATTTTTTGGCAGTAATTTAGTCATAGTTTTTATTATTATTATTATTGTTACAACTTTTAAGAACTCCTGAGCCATGATCTTCTGTACATCAGAGGAAATTTTATTGGTAACCTTCAAATATCTGGATTGTAGCTTAATTTTAGCTCCTGATCAGGCATTAAGATAATAGGATCTGACTGCTGGCATTTAGAGAAGGTGCCAGTGCTTGGAAACTGGCTTCTGCTATATTGCATAGGAAGAGCAAAAACTGGCAAGAGTTGCAGTATAGAAAGCACGCAGCAGAACTGAGTTCCAGCATAAAAATCTAAAGTAGGATTTTTTAGGTCACCTTCATAGCTTTAAAGCTAGCATTTCATGAAATGGAGCTCTACAGGCCTCCAATAGTTTTCAAATCAACTGGAATATTCAACTCTTAAGAGATCAGCAGCAGATCACAAAGAATTACTCACCATTGTCATTAGACCTAAGGCCCACCAGAAGCCTGTACTAGCAAGGGAAAATCCACGAGTCCACAAACTTATAAGGCTGAAGAGCTAAGCAAACACCTCTTGTGTAAGACAGGAAGAAACAGCGTGACCACATAGAACCACATTAGCCACAGCTTTGCACACCAAAAGAGTTCTGCTCTTTCCTTTTCCATACTGCTGCAGCACAGACTTCTGTTTTGCTGTTAGACAATCATCTTGCCTAGAAATACTTCCCTCTTTCCATGACAGAGCACCTGCTGAGGAACTCTCTAAACCATGGGTCAGGCAATTCAACTTAGATAACCTGACCAGGAATCCCATCCCAAATTCTTGCTGTGCCTGTATATCTGTGCTATGATCAAAGTAACCCCTACTTCTACATTAGTTACCAGGGGATTATGCAAGTTGCTGGGTACACCCATTCCTCACATCACACAGTCCTGCTAGGGACAGCAGCCTGGTAGAAAAGAAAACAAAAATGAAACACTCCACCATTTAATGAAACTTAAAGGTTTCAGTGTGCCCACCCACAACAGGGCTAATCCAAACTTGTCTGAGTTCAGGATTGATGTTGGCCTTACACACAATGAGTAGGTAAACTTGGCATCTTGCTGCTTTTCAAAGAGTTAAGGCACGTCAGCTGGATGCTCTTGTTGGGAGACAATGCATCCCTTTGAACTAATCTATTGGAGCAGAGGTCACCTTAATGTGTAAACACACTGTCTTTCAGATGTGCTCCTCCAACTTCAATAAGAGCAAACAGCAATTTTTTGATCATTTAACTTCATCCTACTGCAGAACTCTGGACGTTTAGCTTCTCCAGTGAGCCTTCTGTCAAGCCCACAAACTTAAACTGGTTTGGCAGTTAGTAAGCTTTCCAAACAAATGCCAGCTGACTGGAGGATTTACCACGTCCTCTGGCATATCAAACTAATAAAAATATAATAGTTTTTAAACAACCTGCCTTTTAATATTCAGATTTCTAGCTTCTGTGTCTCGGACTGAATCCAGCAATTTCTTCATCTACTCAATTAAACATCTAAATTTGCTGCCTACACATCTGTTTATTGGCAGTGCACAAGTCTCCCCTTAATCTTTGATTTCATAGAAATAAGTTTACCTAGCTTCTGCGTTACTAGGTTGCAATGCATATTTTCCATATGTGAAACAAATAGAACAACTTTAAAAGTATAAAGGAGAGCGTCACCAGAAGGCTAGGCCACTCATGTGCAAGATGCTCTAGTGGCTTAAAATTGCGCAAAATTTAAATGACAAAGAAAAAAAAACTGCTTAGCCACAAAGATTCCCGAGGCAAAGTTTGTAGGAAGAGGCAAGGTTTTTAATTAGAGCTGATACAGCTGGAAAACAGCAGGCACGTGCTGTCAAGCACGAGCCCTTTGTCAGATCTGAAACACAAGTAAAGCACTTCAGGCTAGATACAGGTTGAGAACAAGCTGCTTTGAGTTTAACTTTATTATGCTAACCAGTCAATTTGAGAGAAAGGTGTGCTTTGTGTTGTAATTCCTCTGCTCGTTACAAGTAGAAGAGATCTTAAATTCCAATGTGCTGATATGTCTAGGACATACTTGATGTAACATTTTGCTCATCATTCAGCCAAATAAGGAAAACATCCGGGAAGTGAAACTGAGTAGAAGCAAAGTTCAGCCGATGCCTATCACAAAGCTGCAGTGTCTGATTGCAAACAGTCTATTTGGGAATGCAGACATCTTCAGTGACTTGAAATAGCTCCCTTCCCCTCCCATAACAAAACTGTATTCTCTGGAAATAAAAGAGATCAAGGAAACTGTTCCACCAAATTCCATTTTTGTGATAATCTAAATGGACAAGCCTAAATTCACTTCACTGGCTGTACTGACACTAATTTTACAGTAACGTAATCTGTGTACTTTAAGGGCAGGAAGACCCATGAGATCATTCGCTCTGACCTCCTGCAGAGCTGCACTGTTTTGCTTAATAAAAGCCAACTGTACAAAGCAGGTGCTCCAAGCCTGACCCCTTGATTTCTCAGTCAGTTCTGAAGTCTCCTGTTCTTTTCCACAGTTACTTAAGTATTTGCATGTTGTAATGCTATACAATATGCAGACAACGTCCTGACCTGAACTCATTCAGGGTGCCAGTATCAGAAAAGCAAATATTTACACAAACGGTTGTGATAGTTAGTATAAATAATGAGACTAACAGCAAAGCAGAGAGATATTTCCTGGAGGTTTAATGCCTAGCCAGGAGGAACCGATGCCCGGAACTGATCTTGATCAGTTATGTCTTACTATTGTCTATAAATAGATAATTGTTGCTCTTGTATAATGAAAATGGAACATTCAGTATACATATGGAGCCATTTGGCATATGCCTTTGTTTCTGGATCACAATTACTGCATACATCATGGACAATAAGTGTTTGCAACACTTCAGCCCTGGAAGGTTGGATCATTTCTCAAAAATCCACTATTTCATGTCAAAATTCCTCATTGACCCATGAGCCTCTCATTCTGAATGACCTGCTGCTTTCCCGAAAACAGGAAAAAAGTAGCTTGAAGGAAGGGCTTTGTCCAGCGGTCCCATTTCTGTCTCGCTGAGTAATGTTACTGCAGGACCTGTGGGTCACCTGGCAGCATTAAGCAAGTATTTAATTATCCCTGGGAAATGTGGTGTCCCATTGCTGTGGCTCTGATGAACAAAACACATAAGATTCAAAGATGAATTTGGGAAGTAAATTCTGAAAGGCTCGGACATTTCTCTGAGCCTACCCTGGAGAAATCTTTCGTGCCTTTGCCAGTAAGACCATTTCACAAAATGGGCACCATTTTTAGTGCCCTGCTTGTTTGATTCCACACCCTCCCCCCCACCCCCTTTTCCATCTCCGCCTAATCTTGCTGGTCACAGGATGCAATGAAACAAACAAAAAAACAAAAAAACATTATCTTTAAAATGGCAACAAAACTCCCAGGGTAATAAATCCCTGTCATATTCCTGATATCAATGCATTCTCCTACATTGCTTGAGAGGCTATCTTTAAAAGTCTCCTAACTCCAGGTTCTTTTGGATCAAGACAGAAGTCTTCCATCTTAATCTGAACCAGTACCCCTTTTAGCAATTCAGAAGGACCAGTCTTTTTCTGTGTCGTTTCCTTAGTATCAAATCACTTAAGGAGCAGATAACTCTTAGACCATTTCCTGTCCCCTTTTTCCTAGAATTTAATGGTCCAGGTCCAGAATTCAAACGCAGAAACTGAATAGGTGGGAAAGAGAAAACACTCATCCTCAACATGATGTCAGCAGTTCTCAATTTAATTGCAGGATGGCACAGCTGAGCTCTTGGAAGCATGCATGTGCACACCCCGTGGGCACAAAGAGATTTGTCTTTTTTATAGAAGGCTAAAATGTAATTGGAAACTGATTGAGGCCATCCTGTATCAAAGGCCATTTCATAACACTGTAGTGGTCCATTTATAGAAACAACACACTGCACTCTAGCTGCTGTGGGTAAAACCAAATACCCTCCCCACCTCCCTAAAGCAACAAAAACACGACCTTCTCCAACCCAAAGGGCCATTTACATAAGAGAAATAAAATTAAAGAGAAAAACATTGTCCTGGAGGAGGAAGTCAGAGACACAGAAGCAATGTTTCTGTCCCACAGTTGTCATGTGAGTGGGTGGTGAACAGGGGAAGGCAGAAACCAGTGGGAATACTTTGTGGCTATGTAATTGGCTAATTTGGGGTGGATACAGGGAAGAAGATTGATGGAGGACAGCCATTTATTTTAGAAAGGAAATCTGAATCCCATTGGAATAGCCACAGTGGAACAAATCCAGCCAGGAAGAGTGAAACAGGGAGTCATAAATAACAGGAATATCTGGTCAAGCACCAAGGGACTGCTGCAAAACCTACCAGAATAGTAAGAGGCAGCTTCCAAAAGGGTTTAACTACAAGTCCACAAGGTCCCCAGGAAAATCAAGGATGCCTGTAGCCACCTAATTTACTCTTCAGGCAGCACTTAACAGTGCTTCCAGTCC